ATGGAATTAAAATACTTTTTCGTTTTTATAATAAGTCCATTATTACAATGGTATGGATCTCAAGGTTAAAAAATTGGGTGGTAGAGAACAACAAATTTATCCCCTGTACTCACTGAGTATCTAACTCCGATAGTTTTGTGATAGAAAACCTATTAAATGGATATTCATTATTGGTTCTTAATTATTTAAGTTAAATTAAATGGTTTCTATTTACTTACAATGTAATTATTTAATGTTGCATCGTTTCAGTATTTCCATGGGTAAAACGTTCAATTATCTCTAAAATCGTTTCGGTATTTCCATGGATAAAATTTTTGTGAACTAGTAATACAAGATATTTGTTACAGAATCTTGTGGCACTTTGTGGCGACAATTTAGAAGGAACTGTTATCTTCCGGTATTATCAAATATTTCACTTCCATTTTTATTAGAAATTCAAATATTGTTAAACCTTTTATTTCATACAAATTCTCCCCTTTCAGTTATACTTTCGGGAAAGTTTAAATTGTACTCCATCTGCAGGTTCACGGTCGTTTCACTCATTTTGAAGGATCTGATTATTGTGCGAAGGTCGGTGCGCATTTGGTTACAATTAGAGACGCTCAGGAAGCAAATTATGTAGATTGTGAGCAGTTTTTAATATACAAATTCCAAAATTAATCATAAAACATAGTCTAAAATACTGGTAGGCAGGATATCGGTGCCGTGAATTGTTTTTGTTGGGGTTAGTCAATGGCCAGGAACAAGTAGAAACTTTAAGGCTTGTAGTTTTGGCTTCGGTTATATTGTATTGTAGTTGCACCAGATACTGTTGCGGAGTGAAGGGTTTGAAAGGTTTCGCTGTGAATCATATAGGTACACAAGAAATTTTAACAAAGGCTTACCTTATCACGGTGAAAGCTCGTAAGCGCTTCAGTTATGCCACGAAGATGGCCCAGCAAAAAGGATTATTATCTTTTATTTGTATAAAAAGTGATGAATAAGACCAATTGAACAAGCAGCAGAAAGGAAAGGAATATCGGTGTGAACAGCAGTTTACTACAGAAGGGATATAATCGTCTTGTTGATTCAGGAGTAAAGGAATTCCCCCTCTATCTTACAATAAGGTGTATATATATGTTAAGAAGTGAGAATGGTTTACATTCAAAAAAGATGTTTATTTAGATACAAAGGGAACTGTAAAGATCCAATTATAAGCATTGCAACAAGATCAGATGGGAAGATTAGCATGTAAATTGGACATCTTTTGTTAAAAAAAATAAAGATGTGAATTTCCATTAGATAAACAAAAAAAAATGCGTGGGAAATAATATTAAGGAATATAAATTGGTTAAATGATTCACATTATTGTTAATATTTATAATTTGAATAAGGAATTTATTATTTGGAATTTCGCGATATTGAAATTCGCGGCAAATGAATTCCGAGAGGTGTGGATTTAAACTCCGGGAATGGACATTGATATTGTCATAAGTATTCTATTTACCTGAAATTATTTTTGCTCTTTCCCAACTTCTTTAGACGGGAGCTTTCAAAATCAAAAAAAAAAAGAATCAATTAAAAGCTTCATTCAATAGCTTTTTATATTAGATATCTACAACGCGAGCGGGAATGGCACATATTGGATTGGTTTGCTTAAAGACATCAATGGCATTTTCAAATGGCAAAGCGGTGAATCTTTGAATTATACCAACTGGAATAAAGGAGAGCCGGAACCACGAATAGGATGTGTGATTGCCAGTATTATGGAATGTAATGGGAAATGGTTAATAATCAATTGCAATGAAATGTTGTATCCAGATCAGGGATTCGTTTGTGAGAAGGATATCCGTAGGAGCTGAGTGTCAATTTCAATCTTTTTTTTTTTTTGATCATTTTTTTTGCACTTCGAATAAATTTCTAAGAATGCTATCGGTTCGCATTTTGAGCAGTTCGCATTAACAATTTACACTTTTTAATCCCTCAACATTCACTGTTTTGGAATATGAGCTCATTAGATGAAATTGTAATATCTTGCCATAGATATTACAATTTCAAGATATTGTAATATCTTGAAATTGTAATATCTATGAAATTGTAATATATGAAATTGTAATATCTTGTTTGTCATAACTTGAAGATGATCTGCATTGCTTCTTATTATAATTTTAATTTCCATACCGTTTAAATTTTTATTAAAGGAATCATTTAAAAATAATTGTCGCATTTTTACCATATGACAACAAATGATTGTTTCATGGATACCGTTTTTGCAAAACCAGAAGACTGGCAATTCTTTCACTTGTTTTTCTTTCATATGAATTCAAAAAGAAGTTATGGATCTTGTTGTTTAAAACTCAAAGTTTATGAACTAAAATAAGTTTCACATCGATATGAAAGTTACGGGAGAAGTGTTGGATCATTTTATCCTCATATATTTGTCCATTTCGTTTGTTAATTTTCCCTTTAGATCAAGAGAACGAAAATGACATCGGGAATTCGGGAAGTGTATGGAAATGAACAGTGCTGTAACATCCGTGACGCAAAGAGAGTGAATGAATTGTTGGAATTCTAACAACTCTGTTTTAAGAATGAGATAAAGATATTACCATGTTTCCCCGAAAATAAGACAGGGTCTTATATTATCCTCCTCCTCAAACGTGCTAGAGCTTATTTCCACGGGATGTTTTATTTTCGAGGATACGTGGTAAGTCAGGGAGTTCGACGCGGCCACCGATCGTGCTCAGCAGCGACGAGGCCAGGAAATGGCCAGCAAGGAGTGAAGGTAGGCCCAAGATCTCAAGGTGCTGCGGTGAACAATTCAGGTAATGGTCAGTAGAGGAGGGATTGATCTCATTCGCGGTAAAGCCGAATCATGTCTTATTTTCGGGGGGCTGTAGCCCTTACCCTGAAAATGTTACTAGGGCCTATTTTCAGGGGATGATTCATTTTCGGGGAAAGGATAGCAGTGAAAAAAATTAACAAAATGGCTTTGAAACCATTGAACTATGTCAATCAACCATTTCGTTTGACAGCTCGAAATATAGATAACTCGAAATATAGACTGATCTCGTATTAAACATGTTAAACATTTTTCACATTTCCTCGATACTATTTAATTTGATATGACAAATAGTTATTGTTTAAACTGAAGTAATTGCAATAACGAGATATGATGATATGGTAAAAAATGCAAAGATCATGATCTAATGTGGAAGATCCATTAAAAACACTCTTGGCATATTCAAAATAATCATTAAAGCTAATAATGGGTTTTGATGAATACAAATTCGATTTAAAAATTTAATATTTCAGTTGTGGGACTAAAAATTTCACAGATTCTTCGAAATCCCTTCATTTTCACTTTTCTTTTTTTTCAAGTCAGGTAACAATAGTGATATAATATTTGGAAATCAGCTTGGGCTAATTTTTGATTCTTTAATATGTCATGTCTTATGATTTTACGATTTGAAATTTCAAGGATTTCTTCGGTTTCTGGAAGAGCAAAAGAATTTGATAGATTGGAATAGATAGATGTAAGTCAAATTTTCCTGATTTCCGTAACTGGTCAATGAATCTGTTTGTAGCGAATATTGATAGGATTCGTTTGAGAGGGTGATGTCGAAGAAGAGACAACTATTGTCAGCGATATAACGCGAGTTGTAGTAGCGTTAAGTTGAATTGAGTTGATTCAGGTACGATGATTTGAGTTGTACATGCACCAG